AGTCCATCTAACACTTAAGCTAAAGAAGGTAGGTAATAGGCTACTCATTGGATATTCTAGCTGTGAGCATTAATTTCGCTGTTTATTGGAATAAGAATGAAATTTTTCCATTTGCTTGGGAAATAGTCTAGTCTTAATGTTGTACATAATATTGTTCCAATTGTGCATGTAGGTAATCATTTTATTATTTTGGTAGTTATTAGGTCGTGTCCTGCTGCTTTGTTTATGAGTTTGCTTATTGTGAATTTAAATTCTGCGGGGAGAATTTCTTCATTAGAAGTTTGGTTTTATTCATCAGATTACGTTGAGGGTATTTTCAGTGTCCTATGGTAAACTATATTGATCTTTGGGAACTTTTTTAATGTTAGTCTATAATGAGGGTGAACCAGGACTAATTTGAGCAAAAAAATTGCTTGATTACACTGTATCTTTGTTCGATTAGAAATTCTGCTTTTTGCATAACGAGTTCCATTCCCTTTTTATGTGAGGGTCGACTATACAACTGCCAGTCTTCTAATTTTGTGTTCATATTTTTTCAAGTCCACAATGTGTTTCTGTAGCCAGCAAGATGAACGTTTGTTTAATAGTACTGATAAGCATGATTCTTTAATCGCAAAGCATTTTCTGTTGGTTTGTTACCTATTTGTACACCAATATCTGCACCGTTTTGAATGTCTTTAGGAAATGAAACTATAAGGCTAATTTCATTCTAAATCATTCCCAGTTTGCTTTACCATTTATTAGTTTCCTTGTCTTGTGTAGTTTAATGGTTCTTTGAAATGTGATTACGAGGGTTATGATCTGTATCGAGGTCGGAGAATGATATAAGGGACAATTTAGGTATGCGGTTTGTCTTAGATCAAGAATATCCGGGGCGCATTTATTATTAAATGGATAAAGAGTCTAAATAATTTATCTAATTGCTTAATTCGTTTGGGTTTCAGTTTAATCATTTTAAATCTGTGCTTGTTTGGATTCTAGCGCAACCTGAATCATATTTTGTATTCGGGGCAAGATGATATAAATTTCATTATTTGAATAATCACAGAACTTGTGATAGATGCGTTGTAATCTGTTCGTGCCAATGCTTCGGTTTCAGCACGGCATCGTATTTCTAAGTTTGTCTTGCAAATTATTTGGAGGATTTGTCAAATGGTATGGCCTTTCAGTTAGGGAAGGGAATTGCCATTGTTTAAGATTGGAGGCTGGCTGTGCTAAGCTAGCCTACCTTCATGTCTTATCCCTTGATCTCCACTTAACTCACTATTCAGTGTCTTGGCCTGTACTGTGATCTATCTTGATCCAGTTGCAGGTTTGTTTAACTCTGTTTTATAGAAAGATCCAAAATTCTAATCTCCCTGTCGAATATATACTTATATTGGGTAGGAATCTTAAGTTTTGTGCGAACATAGCCACTAACAAAGCCGTAGTATTAACGTAGTTTTGAATCAACTTTGCCAGCAACTTGTTTTCGACAATCACCGCAATCTGCAGGGATTTTCTTTTTGCCATATAGTCTGACAACTTTTAATAAAAAATTTACCGTTGAGGTTTTAACAGCATTATCTAGACGTCATTCGCCAAATACGCTTAGATGAATTGAGCAACTCGAGACACCATCGATTCCTGAGCGGGTGACTGTCTAGGAACCCCGGTTGCTAACGGCACCGAGCCCCTGGCCGAAGGTATAAATGGCATTTGAGAGCGTAGGCTTCCGCGGCCGGACTCAGTATTTACTAGGCTGTCCGGATGACGCCGCGTCCATGGCGAAGGTGCCGACGTTTCGGTCGCCATTCTGCGACCTTCCTCAGGGCGTAATGCCCTAAGGAATGACCTGGACAGCCTAATAAATAATGATAAATGGCATTGTCAGACTGTGATGTTATGAGAGAAACGACAAAACTTAACAGAGGATGTACTCGTATGTGCACTCGATGCCCAAAAAGGGCTTGGAGACGTCTTGCAAAGAAGACGTAGACACTCCAGAATATCTTCTATTATTACTTGAAACGTTTTTCCAGTGGGTCGTTAAAAAATTAAGACTCGTACTCATTATTTTATTACACATTTATTGTGTTCATTACTGAGTGGAATGGTAATAATGTAACTTGGCATTGTTGAAATGGAAACAAATGGTGTCAAAGTAATGAAAATACATCGAAGTAATGCTGCAAATAACATGAAAAGCCGTGTATGCATACAAAGATGAGTTTGTTATATTATTAGTTTTATCAAATTATGATAATGTTACATATCCGTGACTAATTGACAACTTCTTTACTTTCGGAAATAGACAGGGGTTGTGTCAAGTGAGCCCAGGTTCGAACATTAAGGTTGTGGGTTCGAAGGCATGAATGCTTTAATGTTTTCGTGATTTGAGGGACTTCTAGTCTCTACTGTATTACATACGAGGAGGTACCCCAAAAATTACAGGAATTTTTTTAAGCTACGTATTTTATTTTATTTACAAAACAACCTTATCACCTTCAAAGAACTCTCAATTACACTTAATAAATTTCTCCAATGTGCTATTCATCGCAGAAAACATTTTTCTAGCTCGTCTATTGTAATGGTCGACAGCTCCTGCCTTGTTTTCTTGTCTTTCTTTACCGCTTCCACTTCGCAAATGATTGCGTGGACTTTTTCTTTTCTTTTTTCCCCCTCTCATTTTCTTCAGTTCTGGAGGTTGACGGACGTCCAGAACGGTTTGTCATCAAATGACATTTCAGCTTTGAAATGAGAAACCTATTTGAATCCTTGAGTTTTCCCATAGCAATGTCCTTGTAAGCCGTCTTTTAACATCATATCGGTTTCTGCTGAGTTTTTCCTTAGCAGGATGCAAAATTTTACAGCAGTGCGCGTTCACTTATAACCGCCATGGCAAAGAACTAGGAGCAAGCGAAACTGCTCTTTAGCAACCAAATTACTGTGAAAGGACAATGGCTTCCCATTTGACAACAATGATTTCAGTGAATTTGGAATGAGTTGCGCCACGCTCACCAAGTGGGAAAAATGCGTACTACTTAAGCTTCGCCAATCCCAGCACTATTCCGGTCATTTTGGGGGTATGCCTTTGTACACATGTTCCATGGTAATTTGCCTGATTGGCAACTATGTGAGATGTGTGTCATTGAGGAACAGGATCTCTACACACACGACAATGTTTAGCACGTAGATGGGCCAAAGTAAACCAAGAGCAAATATGGAAAAGGTTCAGGACTGAGAAAGGTCTACACGAAGGTTTTCACTGAAAATTACCCCCAGAGCAGTAGTATGTATTTTAAGTGCCACTATAAGAGTATAGCAGTTCTAAAGATGATGGGTAAACAATTGTTGGCCCCAACTCAATAAAATATGAAACTAATTAGTACGAGAAAGTCTGCAAAATTCAGCAGTACCACTAGTTTGATACCTTTAATACGTACCAACAAATGATAAATAATTTCGGCCCATCTGTCAGAAATCTCTGAACAAATAGAATTGTGAATTTAACTGATTATCGCGTTCGAGAAGATAAGATAGTGAAGACGATTCGCGAGAAAACCGGAACAGTTGAGAACAGCATGATGTCTCATTTGAGAATGTAGTCGGATACAGATAACCGATTTAAAATAATTTTATTTTCTTTAAATGTAGGCTCCGAATTACCCATAGTTAATGAACTGAACATGTCTGAAATTTTTCAGCTATATTTACTTTTTATTCCTATAATAATGTCCAGAGAGGAAAAGTAAGGGAATCAACAATACGATATCGAATTTTCGGTCTAAATCTGTGTTGATTTTGAGATGAAACTTTGCATTCACGTCAGGATTAATGTCTTTCAGCGCTGTTTCAGATTAAGATGGATGCAGGTTGTGAGGAGATACACGCGATTTTGTCCTCGAAATTCGGGATGTCGTTATGGATGGGTGGAAGGAGAGAGAGATGGATGGATGGATGGATGGGACACACATAACTGAGATTAGAAGAGTTTGAGCCGAATTTGGGTAAAATCGTCAGAAATAAGATCTAGTTGTGCCGTTTCTACAGGTGTGATGTACATCATTCCCATATCGTCACTAAAAAAATATTGCAAGATTTGATACAAATCCTGTCGAAATGCAGGTGAAAATATTTATTTGTGCGAATCAAGTCTTCACGGGTGTAAAAGGACAAACCATAAATGTGAAATTTCAAAGAGCCCGCTTTGCTTACTCTCGCTTCAATGCCGCAATGAACTAAATTTTCATCACAGAATGATGCATAAAAATATTTGTTAGAAAGGAAGTTGTGTACTTTCTTGCATTCTAGCTTCAGAAATATATAATTTTCATGCGAACTTTGTCGAGTTGGCGAAAAGACAAAAATAATTGGGAGTAATGTGGCTCAAGCGCAAGTGATCCAACTTACTCCAGCCGTAGGAAGTCATTTTTGCCTGTTCCTCACCACGCACTCGGTTTGATTTGTTATCAATGAACATGAATGAAATCGGCTGTTGGGTCAGGCCAGCCACACCGAGGCAACTACAGCGACTCTTGGACAGCGAGGTCTTACGGTTAGCTAGGTGGAAATCAGCCGCAGACTGGAGAAGAATTTTAGTGATCGACCGCTATGACCAATATTTCTCCGTGTGGTGTTTTTTCCTTGACTATTTCCAGGCAAATGCTGCACGAGTTCCCTAACAAACGGTCGCGAACCGCTCGTGATCTTCCCTTCCTTTCCCTATTCTTATACACACACTTGCATACTCTACTCTACTACGCCTGACTGGAGACCAGTCGGAATCTTGTCAGGTGAGCTTGACCAGGAGGGGCGGTGGAGTAGATATCTGGATGTGAAAAATCCCTCGCAAGCGGACGTTTAGGTCGTCACCGGATATCACCATCCAGCTAGAGGAACACCGCCACCTCCCGGGATAGTTCGCGCACTACACTCCCGAGACGAATGACCGTAGCAGTGGGCGGCGTTGCGCTGAAACGCCGTCCCGTCAGTGAAGTGGTGATGTGTTGTGTGCGCAGCCTGATGGCGACGAACGCGGCGCGCTACCGTATGGCCGCGGGGCGCCACATCCAGCTGCTGGAGTTCGGACTGCGGCGCGCGCAGGGTCCCGACGGAGGCCTCTCCGCCTCCAAGTACTCCTACGTGGGTGAGCCAAAGCTATAATACTGCTATACCTTTGTACAGGGCGAGTGATTTCAGGTTGAAAGAACACGCCACGGCCGTCTCAGTTTGATGGACGTTTTTGTGACATTTGGCTGCGGTAATTTTGGTTACTCCACAACAGATCCATCTCGATTTCTCGTGTAAAACATTCGGAAGGTTGTGCTTCGTATGCATCACTGCGCTGACAATATTTCAAAGTATTGCTGATGAAAACTACTAGTGTTACAACAGCACATAATTTCTCGCAATATTACGCTATTATTATGTACAACGGGACGCCCATACTTAATGCTTCATTAATTACAAACTAATTGCACAAAAAATACTAACTTTTACTAAAGATTATACAATACATTTTTAAAGAGAAAATTTTGTGCAACAGACTTTGAGGCAAAAATCTCTATCTTCAATTTTATAGTTTTGAATTTTTTTTTTTTTTTGTTACAATTTTCGAAAATAAACTAGCAATACCCGAAAATGGAATTAGCATCATAGTTTCTACAGTTCCTTATTACATATGTGTAGAAAATTTAAAAAAAACATTTGGAGCGGTTTTTGAGAAAAGGAAATTTCACATTTCACATACGTTATCGCGTATACGCAATAACTAATCGTTGTTTCAAAACATTGTAGATGACAATTTTAAACAGCTAATTTTGTACAGCATATTTTGTATGAACCAAAAACCTCTATTTTTAATATTGTAGATTTAAAGTTGTTTTTTTTTTTCCTTCAATTTTCGAAAAATCGGAGATATTAACGAAAATGATATCTTAAACGTTCTTTGCACTGTTCAACCACAAAATTTAATGAACTAATTTGGAGTCATTTTTTTAATTGTCCCAAGGGCTTCATGTCCCCCCCCCCCAAATTGAAATACTGATTTCAAAATCCAGGAGCCGCGACATCAGCCAGTACGATTGGGGAATATCAATTTTGTAGAAAATCGGCTGAACGGTTTATGCGCAAGCGTTGTGCACAAACAGACGTTTGGCCGTCAATCGATTTTTCGTTACGAAGGATGCATAGTACATCAAAATTGGATTCTGGCTATAACACGTGTTAGATTTTTTTTTCTTCCCCCCCCCCCTTCATAGTCAGTAACTGAATTTACCCACTTTTATCTTGCCAGGGTCCGGCAATAAGATAATTTGTGCGAAAAATTCGTCGTTTTCCATACTTTCTCTTGTTACGTTAATAAGTGCGAAAAGGTAAAAATGTTCTCTTCGGACTCAAAGAAAAGAAAAAAAAACAAAGTTTTGAATTGGCGGTATTGGGAAGAAAATTACGACAGTCCAGTGTCGCGGGCCGTCCTACGCCTGATTTAGGTCGTCAGAATCTTGACCCGCCAACCGGCCGTCAGAATTGAGTGCTCTCTGTTTTCACAAATGACTCTCATGCTCTCCTGAGTTCACAAAGCGCTTAAATTTGCTTTCAGCACCATAAAAAATAGAAGTGATGAGAAATGGACTTCTGAAATTTTTTTCGTCCACCGGATGCCTAGTGACTGGACTATTGGCCTAAGAGGCAACTATGGGTTCAATCTGTGTGTATAATTGACGAACTGAATCCCTATCCCAGACCAATGGTATAAACATAATGGGCCCAAGGGATTCCGTGGGCATATATGCGTAGGTACCTAGGGCTATGGTAGGCCTTGTACGATGTTTTGGGAGCGCGAAGCTGCTCTTCACGGGGAATGTCTGCAAAGGAGCGGGGAAGCTGCGAAGTATGAGCGGCGAGACATCCTGTAGGTATTTTTGGCCCCGACAATAGCTTAAGAATAGGATAGGCTAGAACTAGAGCCCGTCTCAAGAGAATAGCAAATTAGAATGTCGAGAATAATTCTAGTCAGTTTAAGTAGAAATTAAGTAATTCGTCAACTTTAAATTTTTAGGAAAAGTAATCGATTATTTTTTGTTTCAATTATTTGTAATAAGGACAAAACAATGGAAACCTGTTAAAATGGAGTTTGGCTTGAACCAATCTCGAGAAATAGTACTTATGCACATACCATTTAGAACTGTACTTCAACAGAATGCTCAGTTTGGGTTACAGTGTAGAAGAAAAACGCGTCTTTAAAATGAAATACACTTGAAAAATGGATGTTAAGGGACATAATATTAACGAACAGTCTTTTCAGAAAAATGTGTAAGAATAGTTGGGTTCAAGGCTATAATGTAAAGGGTTTGTGGGCGATGTTGGCAAATGACAATAGTCAAAAAACTTTTCATATCGTCCAATGTGCATACGTTTATTCGTACAATGGGATCGTGTAGTAGCCATTTCCTAGAAGTACATCACATATCCCTCCGACGTACCTTTACGGAAGCAGTCCGGTAAAACGTTTTTACCTCCCTAGTTGAGTAATCTCAACTCTACGAACGATTAACAGTTCAGAAAATGTAAGGAGCGAGTAAACAAAAAAGTATGTCACGTGAAGCAAATCTTCGTAAAGCTAAAGCCAGTAAGAGAACGTGTGCTCTGCCAAATATTACGCCGGCGGCGGTTTCTCTAGGAAAGGAGGAAGGTTCTCACAGATATTTTCTAAAACCCGTTAAAAATGTTTTTGCTTTGGTGTTTGAGGGGAAAATGTATAATTATTGGATTGGGGAAATGGAGTTTCAACTAATCATAAAAGCGCTTTCTTAATCGATGCGAAAAGTATCAAAATCTCTCTCTGGAGAAGCTTCCCTCTTGTCCATATTTCATAACGCTTTTTTTCATGGATCCTTAGGGAAACATTTTAATGGATTCTTAACGGACCAAAGGGAGGAGTCCCTCCATTGGTAATATTTTCATGTAGCAATGACCTTGTCAACTAAACGCGCCCCGAAGCGAGGCGTTGCGATGAATGAAGGGCAGAGGCGGAGTGGAGTAACGTGGGCCGGCGAAGCCCGGGGGAAAAGGGCAAATCGAACCGATGAATCTTTCTCTCTAATCCTACCGCAGTTCGAAGCGTGTAATCTAATTTTCTGTATTTAAGGGTCGTTAATTTTATTTGAAGTAGTTAATGCTCTTGACCGCGCTTCCCGCCGTGGGAACCATGCGCAGGGTTGTGCGGAATGCGAGAAGCGTTGCTTAATTGGCTCGGTTCCGGACCGCAATCGATAGGTCCCAAGGATGAACGTTTTCGCCCGCGCTCACGCCACGTCACGCCATGCCCTGCCCTCCTCGATGGGACGTGTTCGCGCACGGGGACAGGAACGCCGTGCCTGGCCGCGCCAGCCTCCGCGACCAGCCATCGACCGCCCCGCCCCGCTCCGCCGGTGCCTGGCACGGCCTGCCTGCGCCGCCCCGACCACCCAGAGCGCTCCGCTGCGCTGCGCTCCGGGGCGCCCTAATTACTCGGCCCGTAGCCGCGCGGCGCCGCGCCGCCTCACCCTTAGGGCCCCTTCCCACTGCGCGACGGCGGTGCGCTTCCGAGCAGCGCGGCGCGTAGCAGAGCATTGGTTTGAATGGAGGCCTTCCCACGTGCAGCGGGTGGCCGCTGCCGAACTCGAGTCACGCGAAGCGGAGGAGGGCATACGCGCCACGGCTAGCAGTACACGGCTTTAAATGGGAGCCTTCCCACTGTGCCGCCGGTCGCTGCGGTTTACCTGCTGCGGTCCCTTTGTTTGTCGTCGCCGGAGGATCGGCAAAACCTACCCCTGCAGACCCCACCCCCTTCCACTGCGGGCGGCGTTGCGGCCGTGGCTGAGGTGGTGGCGGCGTGGCGACGTGGGAAGGCGCGCCTCTCCAGGGGCCGGCAACTCTCCATCAAAATCGGGGACAAAGCTCGAAGTTGCTAGTATAGAAAGCACTAGCGTCGCCGGGTGCAGCTGCAGGTTAGGCTCGCCAACTTTCCCACAAATACGAAAAGTGTCTCTAAATGTACAATTTATTCATAATCTCTACTTGTAGAAACGCTCTGAAAGAAAGCGGCGTGACTGTAGACGTTTATCATTTGTAAATTATGGATCCTGCCTTAGCGACATAACGCAGCCGTATAGCAGCGTTTAAAGTCTTCGTTGGCAAGCAGTTCTTAAAGAAGGTGATGCAGCAGAGCGCGCCACCGTAATGGTCTCCACCACGTTATATAGGAGTTATAGGGCCCTGCGCTTTGCCCTGCGCCTTTGCGCCCCGTGGCTGCGCACGGGCTCACTTCGCTCAGAGCCATCGTTGCCGCGGTCCGCAGGGCCTCTGCCAGGCCCCCTTCAGGGTTCCTGTCCGCGCGCTGCATGCTTTTTCGTATCAGCTACGAGCCTAGGACAAGGAGAATTCTGGCGGTCGGCTGCTCTGATCAATACCACGCCGGAGCAATACCTTAACAAACGAGTCATTGCCCGCTATCTTTCCTTCGACTTCCTTGGTCTGACCCAGCTGAGGCAATACTCCGCTGGGGGAGACCTGCGACTAGACATTCCTGCTAGGTGTGGACTACGCTAACGTGAAGGTCGTCGCACGACTCACCATACAACGAGGACACCGCTAAGATAAAATATTCACTACGCTGATGGACTAATGATCATAGCAGTTGACCCGGAAATAAATTATTCAACCGACACATTTTAGACAAAAGAAACATTCTGGCCGTCCCGGGTTCGAACCCAGAACTCCTGCCTGGGATGTCTGCGCGTATGCATAGGGCCACTTCGCTCGGCCTAAAGCAACATATTTGCGTTGAATTCAATAACAGGAGAATTCTAGTAAATTAAGAGTTTCCCGTTTTTGACTTGTTTTCCAAGATACCTATTGTTGGTTATTTAGGCTCCTGTCAGTCCATGCCAATTAGCATAAATTTGGCCACATTTGAACTTTCTCATCGTCTTTCTCTATAGCCTTTGAGAATTTTACTCAGTTAAACTGAACATTTCTTCTCCATATGTTCCGCGGAATCACCTATAGATATTACAACGCGGGGTGTGGAATAGTGACTTAGTCGACGTATCTCTTCTTTTTTGTAATTGGAATCATATTTTCTTTCTTTCTTTCTTTCTTTCTTCCTTTCTCGAGTCGCA